GCGGGGGGGGGGGGAGTGCGTGTCTTAGAAAGCAACAGGAGTAGCTGCCGTGCCCCACACTGTCACCCCAGACCAGTTGCTTCCTATGTCTTTGTGCCTCCTGCACTTTCACATTTGTGAGGCCGGAGTCAGAATAAATGCAGGGAGCAGAAGAGCAGTGAGGTCTTCGCGCCTGCAGCAAAAATCACTCCCGGGGGTTTCAGTGCAGGGCTGTGCGGTGGCAGCACACGGCTCTGTTTGCAAACAACGCTGGCTTTCCAAACCCAGCAAATAATATCGGGGTTATTTATAGAGCTGCTGCTGCTGCTGCTGCTGCTGCTGTGTATATTAGGTCCCTGTTTATTTTAAAGCACCGGGTTTATAACTTCCGCTAAAAAATAAGGGAAGAAATAGCCCGAATGCTCAGCAACAACTTCGACCGTGTTTATTTTTATTCTGGCAAAGCCATGTCACGCGGCTCACAGATAAACACGTTTTGGTTTATTTTCCTTCGGGTTTTTTTTTAATTATTATTATTGGCTATCAAGCAACAAAGCTACAGAAGATTTTGGGGGGGGGGACTGGGCTTGCACACCCACATGCGTTTTATCCAAAACTGATCGGGAGCTACCAACTAAAGGAATCGATGAAGAGGCCAAGCGCATGTCGGAGTGTTTGTGGATTGGCAGTGTGCGGCCGTGAGTCGCGGTGTGTGTATGGGTTCGTCTGTGACTGTATATGATGTGCGTGTGTACGCGTGAACAACGTGTTTGTGTATATGTGTAGGTCTGTGTATGACAGATGTAGGTGTTTGTGTATTTTGTGTGTATGTGCGTGTGCTATGTACAGTATGTTTGTGTATTATATGTGTGCATGTGCGTGTTTGTCAGATGTGTGTGTGTATCTGTGTGTACGTGTGCATTTGGTCTGTATGTTTATACGCGTGTGTATGGCGTGTTTGTGTAGTATGGGTGTGTGACAGCTGTCTGTGTTTGCATACATCTATATGTTTGTGTGTATGACATGCATGTTTGTGTATTGTGTGTGCACATGTGTATGACATGTATGTGTGTATATGCGTATGTGCATTGGCATTATGTGTACATGTGTATACACGTGTATGATGTGTTTGTGTATTGTGTGTATGTGTATGCATGAGCGTATGATGTCTGTGTGCGTATATGTATATGTGCGTGTGTATGACATGCATATGCTTGTGCTTTGTCTGTGCACGTACATGACAGATGCATGTGTATATGTGTACGTACGTGTGTATTTGTGTATTATGTGTGCATGTGTATGCACATGAGAGAGGTGTTTGTGTACGATGTGTGTATGACAGCTGTCTGTGTTTGAGTATATGCATGTGCGTGTGTCTGACGTGCGTTTGTGCATTGTGTATGTGTGGCGGATGCATGTGTCTGTTATACGTGTATGCACATACATATGTATATGCACACACACCTGCTTGAGTATACATATGCGCGTGTATATGTGTGTGTGCGCGTATACACGTGTGTGTGCGAGCGTGTGTGCGCGCGGATACCCTCCTGGCCCTCCCCACTATTGCAGA